TAGATGGCTGAGAAGGTGCCCGTTTTAAACACTTAATTCCAGCTGACGGTCATTGATGTCTTGCCCATGGTGTGGCTCTGTTTGTATGCATTAAAACAAATGACCGATGTATATTTATAAAACATACCACGAGGTCAAAAGTTACTTAAGCGGTTTTCGGCTATTCAGTCTGGCATCCTGACTCATTCCTGGTTGCAGACTATCAAACCTGAAGTTTGGTCGAATCAGTATTTTGAGGATTAGCAATTGTAAGGGCTGTTAACAGTTTTAGTGTCTTCAAACTGAAAAAATAAACCAAACGTCAGGTGAAATGTTTTAGCGACTCAAGTAGACTTAGATACATCATCACGATTATCATCATTATAAGCTTAAAAGCCGCGTACTTGTCCTACAAAGATCATAGCTGACACAGTTCCATTCACCGATGATGTGAGGAGGAATATACTCGTTTAAATAAAAAGCTGTTGTGGCCGCCTTTACGTCGGTCGGGTATTCGAAAGCGTCATCACCGGATGTTGGAATACCATTGACTGTGACGGTTTTGCGCAACAGCTACTACGAGCAAGTGTGTGATCGTACCTGGACAACAGGATTTGAATATTTAGCCACCTAGTTCACCGACTGATAGAGTTTAGGAGGATCAAACACTGTCTGTAAGTTGGTCCAACTGGGTGTAGCAAATATCGAACGCAGTGATGGGTAGATTTATGAAGCATATTTCGCTGTGAAATCGGAATATTGTTGTTTTCCGCTTACATATTTTACACAAACAACAGGCTATTTCTGTCTTTACAACAGAAGGTTCTCTGAAATTCATAGTTGTTTGCTTCGCAACATTATGTTTTCGAATTGCATCACTTTTCACCCTTACAACATCAGAACTGCTTCAGTACAAGTGGTGTCCTTCTTTTCTTTGAGCTCACAACCGTTCTCTCTTAAATTAGAATCTGTGTTTGATACGAAATCTACGAAAAAATTTCCACCGTTCTCCTGATGCGTAACATGGGTGCTACTTCCGACCAAATCTCCTTACAAACTGAAACCACAGAATCGTAGCTCTCCGAGGTTTTCAAACAGCTACCCGCATAATCTGACTAGCGGTAGCAAATAAATAAAGAACTTCAGAAACCTATCAGTAAAGGTAACAAAACACAGTAACGTCAAAAGCACACGCAGCGATGGTCCCTCTGTGCCCATAAGCCGACATTATTTACTTTGATGTCTTGATGGCTCAGTTTTAATTCTTAGTTTTCTCGATAATCACTTGAAGTGGAATGTTCTCATAAACTGCATCCGATTTGTATCGTTCTCCACATCTTTGTTTTGAACATTGCAAACGCATTTTCCTGCGCAGACCCTCCATTTTCCATTTCCATTCTCAGTTTTTGGCATCTTTTTGAGTCACTTTGGGTTTATTGGTCGCTTCTGTAGCTATGCATATTTGCATGGCTTCCCATAGTCCACAGTGAAAAATGTGAGACAAATTTGTCAAGAGTGCTTACAGATATTGAGTCCTGGAACCCGCCACAGCTGAGTACCAACGAATTCAATTAAGAATAGGATCAAAGCTTAGTTTTTGTCTTTCAATTGAAACAATGAAGGGTTGAAAAGTCCTGTGCAGCGTTCTTTTCTTATTGTAGATAATCTGCATATACATCTTGAGAAAACAGAGACGATCCTTTTGCGTGTCGATAAGTTAGCAAGGCAGACATCAAGTTTGATGAACAGCCAGTAAACACACCAGCCAAAAACAATTGATGGTATTGTCATCAGGCGGAGTGTGAACCTATGACCGATACAGTCTTTGCCCCATTCAAATTTCACTTATAATTCACGAGTGTTCCACGTGTCTACTTTATACAAAGTAGAATCAATGACTGTCGCATCCACATCCATTTAGAAACTCTATGATTATCACATTCGCTCTGAGCGCTCGTTCTTTGCGCTCACCTTTGACTGATTTCGGTCGTCTGGAACAGTTTGCTTCTCCCAAGTGACTGTAAACGGTTCGAACGGGCAGTGACCAAGGAATTCAGCGCCGTCTATGAAGACAACAGGATGAAGAGCCTTCGGAAGAGGGTGCGCGGTGAATCTTGACTAAGAGACACTCACATAGTTCTGAGGCTGAAGAGGGTTCGTACTCAAAATCTAAGTTCCTCTCACAGGCTAAAAAGCTCAGAGGGAAGTTAAAAGTTGATCAAATAAACTTCGTTTTGGAGTGTTCTCTTTAAAAGGCTAGACTTTCATCTTATTTTTTCATCACGGAGCCATCTGGTCTTTGGTGATAATAGACTTCCAATGGCCTGACGAACAAACCAAATGGAGCAACCTGCAGCGGTTTCAATCATCAGCACAATGAAGTTGTACCTGCCTTTTTAATAAAGAAAATCTGACTACAAATGCCTCCTGAAGACCGCTATTCTACCGTCCTGTACAAAGTGGTTCTCATAAGGTTTTAGAACATAATTCATCAGGAATCAACGTTGAAAACATTTAGATCAGTCGTCTAGCTTCCAAAGCAGTGCACTTTAGACTTTATATAAGTCTTCTGACGTCACGTTCGCACACATGTGTGTAATTCATCTAGCAACGGAAATCCTTATTATGTTTTGTAGACAGCGAACCCCCTGTCGCACATCCGATGTGTGCTGCGCTCCACGATGTAGTAACAAGGTATAATTTGAGTCCTGCGCTTCCTTACCTTAGTTCGGATGTCTCGTTGTTAGGCAACAGATGTTTTACCTGGAAATTGCAAAAAAAACATCCAGGCTATTAAAAAATAGTGCTATATGGAGAGATTCTCAAACTTAAAGTCTTATGGGTGCATTTTATGAATAAAACTTTGAACGGCACCAATGAAATGCAGCATGACGGTTTACAAACAAGCATGGGACAATTCACTTGATACAGCAGCCAAAAAATACCAAGTTCAGTCTTATTTTTGTTAGACCGTTCCCAGATGTGGTCCAAAACGCCCAAAACCCTTGATTCGTTTTAATGCGTGTTGGATTCCCCTGAACACTTTTACTCCATATTCGGACGTTTACAAACATGTTTTTTGTTTCAACAAGATACCCCAACCCCAGAAAATTTTCTCAAAAGTCAAAAACCAATCAATAGTAACGTAGACAATTTTTTATTACATCTGCTTTCTCTGACTTCGCACTTCTCTTAGAAAAGGCGTAAACCCAGATAGCCGGGACTATATTCTGATGTTTTTAACAAACGTCACCAAGTCACAGAGTGGCAAGACATTACGCATGCATGTCCAGCGCATCTTGAACTTTTTTGCAGTTTAAAAGTAAAGATTTTATGCGTATATTTGGTTGGCTAGAGTGGTTTCATCGTTTGAGTCGACATATGTGATTCCCTCACTATTTACCTGGGAGGCTAAATGAGTGATAAAACCTTGAAACCTCATTCTCCTTTTACAAGTTTGCCTTTGGCAGGTTGCAGAGTGGTGCAATCCACCGTCGTTTATTTTGACTCGACAAGCCCGGCGTGCTCATATGCGACGATGAGTGCACACGCACCAGAAGAACCTCTGTCCATTGTTGATTCAGTCCAGTGAATAGCCTTTCATCAATACCTGTACGCCTATGGATTTGATTTAAACAAAATAGTTGGATCGGCTGTTTCAGTAAAGCGAGTCCCAGGCATCAGTTTCCGTGGCATTTCGTTTAACGAAGTCATCAGGACTGACAGCACATAAGAAGCGAGTACAGGACGTGCTTAATGATAGCATTTTCTACAGTGTGGTAACACATACACACCACGAGCGACTAAAAAACCATCTAACAGAGCACTATCACGTGTCTTCTAGTCGCCAGACGCAGTTCGAGTAGATGGGCCTCAGTTTTATTCCGTATCTAAATAATTTATAAAACTTGCAGTTGAAAATGAGAACGAAAATGAATTACACAGTGTGTAACCTGAATATCATTTGAACGGAATCACAATCAGCTCTAGGATATCTTGGTCTCCTTCTATAGTCCTGCATGCACGTTCGTTATGTGTCAGCTGACCATCATTCAGAAGGATTATGTCGCTCATTTTTCGTCGTACATCAACTCAACGGTTAAGGCTGATAGCCCTCAGACTAAGCAGATATGGTGTCAAGACATAGTCATGATACGCGGGTACGCTTTACTGAGCGATTCATATTTAACTATTTGGATACCTGTGCAACAAGACACAGCTCAAACTGAAAACGCACTTTGGACGCAAGCTAGAAAAACGGTATTCATTAAGGCATCATTCTCTGCATCAAATGAGGAATTTTCTGACATGGACTGTTGATTTTCCTGCTAGAGTGAAACACTCATAATCTGTCTTACTCGGTGTTCTGTGATCTGCACAAACCATCCTAATGCTGTATAACCTTTTGTTTGTTTTTAAACTCTTTTGTCCCTTGAATATACATCGTTCTGTGATCTGCACAAACCATCCTAATGCTGTAATAACATCTGTTTGTTTTTAAACTCTTTTGTCCCTTGTAATATACATCCTTATACAACCTTATATGGTGTGGAACCCGTTAGAAACACTCCACAGAGCACTTAAATACATCCATTATCTGGGTAGCCTTTTTTCAGTAGGCTGGTAGCTTTCGCTGGGGATAAAGGTACACAATACTGAGTAGGAGCCAGCTAATACTACTGGTAAACACACAAGAATGATGACTGAACTACTCTAACATCAACGCTAGCCCTGTAAGTGATCCATACCGCTAACAGCTCTACATGCTAGTAATTCAAACGCTCCGAGCAATTCTGTACATTGAGGAAGAGTATGAGAAACTACATTGTAAGATATTCTGTTAATGTTCAGTGCCTAAGGGAACTTGCGGTCGAGAAATCCATGTATATTACTTGTAATTTTATTGACTAAACCATTGTGATCAGAAATCAACGACTTTCATGGTCTTCAATGGTATCAATTTGAATTCAAACATTCTTGTAGTTTATTGGATGTGATCCTTTATCTTGATTGTTTTTCAGCTCTGAAGTATGAGCAAGAGTCATGACAGCAGTGATTTTCAACCTCCGGGAAGTTCAGTGCATGGAAATTTTCGTCCATCCGGAGGTGTGTCGCTCTTTGGGGCAAGTAAGTCGCAACTGGTTTAAGTGTCTTAGCTTAAGAATAGATCCATCCCGTTAGCTTGTTTGTTTTCCACAATGAACATTTCCACGCTATGCACTCTATGGACCTAACACATCACTCATATTATCGCTGAAAACTCTTCCACAGTTTATGACCGTCTTTGCCCTCCTCGGGGATCCTAATGTAAACACAGTCCCCGAGTTCTCCTCCACCTTATAGTCTACTGAAACGCAAAGTCGTATGTAGATTAGATTAGTTGTCGAAATCTGTTCAGTTTGGGTTCAAGTAGAACGTAAGTTTGGGAGAAACCCGGGAACTGCGCCTAATTGGCGACCCGACAATATATTGAGATACTGGCATATCTAATCAACTGAAACCGAAGGTGGCCTTGTGCAACACTTTCAGTTAAATGAGAACATCAACAACGAATATTGATTTAGGTATCCTGAGAAAACCAAATCCATCCAGTCAGGTACGGAACACAGCTTTAGAGTAACCTTTGTTCGTTACCTGTAGAAGGCATGATTAAGCTATTGGAAGTCATGTGACGTGCAGTGAAGAGGCTGTTTATTGTGATTGTTATTCATATACTGAAACATTAATTGGGTTATACCGCCCTTCGCTGCACCAATCAAATGAAGTAGTATTTCACGCTACTTAATTCATAAACCATTGATTCTTCTACGAAGGAAAGGAAAATAACCGGCGAACTTACAGGCCTGATCTCAAAATTATTGAACATCGATGGTATATGCTGCAACACCAGGTGTGAAGTTATGCAGAAATCAACGAGTCTTAGCAAAAGGAAGTCTTTGCTTTCACGTGATAAAATGGAATGCATCAGTCAGATCAAAAATTCAGACACATCAATAATGTAAAAATGTGGTCCACAAGTTTTTGAATAAAAAAAATTAACGTAGATCCCTTAAAACCTCATCAACTTCCCTTATTCCCTAGACCCTCGTATTTTAACTAAAAACTTTTGCTTCGATATTTAATCGGTCTGAAATTAGAGAACGATTTGCTTGAAATATAACCACCAATAACTTTGAAGATGGCTAGGATTCAGAACTGGTACTCCCTGTAACATATTGATTCCGAAGTAGTCCAGAATAAAAATAATCGATATGCGCATAAAAGATGACGTGCTCTTGACCATCCCAACAAGCTAGCCTAGACAAAACTCTCCACTGAAGGTGAAGTTATCATACGATTATCTGCATATTAAGTTGTTGCTGACAGCAGACTCAGCTGAGTGGCAGTTAAATCCCTCGATTGTACTAACCTTCAGCTAAATGAGAACGAAGAAGGTAGCGAACAAAGCTTGTTTTCTGCGATTGTTCCTCTTGGCTAACACATCACAAATGTATATGGTAGCAGAAATCACGTGGGAAAGGTAAGATCGGGGCTACACACACTTTGGAGAAATAGAAATCGAATGAAGGGGGAGTTGGAGGAGGGATAGTGGGTGGCGGAATCAGATAAGTGACGTCAACGTCAATCAGACTTGTGGGACGGGATGCTTCGTAGGCCAGTTCAAGTTCAGAAATCGCACAAGTTTCTTTTGGATGCAAAGTTGCGGATCCAACAGCCGGATTCCAATCGCCTCTAAGATCGATAGCAGTCTGGATCGTACTAGTCGTGATCGGTTCAGAGGTACCCGGTATATGATGTTGAACTGAACTGGCCTACGAAACATCCGGCCCCACAAGTCTGTCTGACTTTGACGTCACTTACCTGATTTCGTGACCCATTGACCTATCCCTCATCCACCCCCCTTTTTTCGATTCCTATTTCTCTAAAGTGTACATAGCCCCGATCTTAACCTTTTCCACGTGATTTCTGCTGCCATATAAATTTGTAATGTATTAGCTTAGAGGAACAGTCATAGAAAACAAGCTTTGTTCGCTACCTTCTTCGTTCCCATGACTACCACGGGTATATTCATCCACTTCAGCTAAATGTGCTGCAAATCGGCTCCCATATGTTTCATCTGGAACGATACTCAGCACGTTCAATTAAATGATAGTGGATATTATTGTTACTGTCACTAGTACCTGGCCGACATTCGAATCAATCTACAGTGAACACAAGATTCGTGCACTAGTCAGTACATGAGCCCACTTACATACTGTTTGCTGTTTCAATAAAAATTTGTTCATTGGAACTGAAGGAATAAGCCTTCTTGGTGAACCTCAATAAGGAATTGGTAGCTCGTCCAAAAATTCTTCTCAAGGGTCTCCTACTTGCTTTTCCTCGGATGTAATTTGTCGTAAAACCAGAGTGTTGAGGTGTACACATTTACCACGTGTTCACCATGCGGTCAACCTCCCGCTAATTTGCTGGATGACGCATCAACATAGGCACTCATACGGCCTCCTACAACAAATGTTCAAGCAATAACATCTGGTATCTTCGTAATGCAGCGCTGTTACGTTGCACCCACGTAACATGTAAGAAACTATCCGACCATTTTAAGCTGTAACGATATAAGCCATATTACATTTGTGTAAGTTTTGTGTTGTGATTCTGTCGTCCTAATCTTCAGCGCAGAAAAACAAAACACGAGCTTCACAAGGGGTAATATTTGACAAAATTGGTGCATTTCATTCCCATCTAAATGTAATTAGAATGCTCGACTAACGGCAACACTAAATAATAGTGCTGCATTCGTTTGGGTCAATGAATTTATGGTCAGGTTTATTGTAAACGGTAGCGACGCCGTATACTTTGAACAGCGGTAAGATGCTTGGGATCGACTTCTTGAATGCCCCATGCACCGGGCGCACACTTCGGAGTTCAATCAGCATACACCATTTGGGCCTTGCTTGGACCTATGTCGTGGAGTTCATACCCAGCCCTAATGCAAATGTGATATGCCCCAACACTTACCGCATGGAGCGAATCCTGGACTATACCATTGACTAAACCAAGTTCCGTCGGCACATATGTCACTAGTGTTGACCTAGTCGATGTGAACCGATGACGTATGGAATATATGTTATGGTGTCTTGGCGTTTCCATCTAGATCCCATCGTTCTGTAAACCAGAAAACCCCTCGGCTTCGGTTCCGAGGTGGTGGTTCCCTGAAAGGAAACAGAATTCCTTGCCGTTTAAATGCCTTTCTGACAAGACTTTCTGTCCAGAATTTACCGTTAGCGATAAATGTAAATCCCGCGACTTTCTTGTTTATTTTACAACATTGGACTTCTCTCCCTGGCTATTAGGTTCTAACGTAGCTACATACTTCGTGACTTAATTCAGAGTTGGGATTGCCAACATCAGACACCATGGTCTATGTTTTCTACTTCCCTTGAAATCAAATATCATGTTTTCCTGCAACACTCGAATTAACTGGTTACCACTCTACAGTAGCTTGTTTTAGTGTGGGAAAAACGCAGCGGAAAAAGACTGACGATATTGACTGAAGAACAAAGCTAAGCGCAAGGGTTCAAAGAATGGTGTTGATAAAATAACACAAAATTCAGTCTACGGGATGAAGAAGACAGTAGATATCAGGTGTTCAACACTCCCAGTGTTTTATATAGCTCCACAGTAAGTAGTTACGATTGCACAGAATAATGTTCTTGTAATCAATGTGCTTGTAAAGACCGAACAACTTTCTCGCCACTAATGTTGCATGTTCCCGTGCAAACCAAACTAGGTGATATAACGCGCAAGAGAGTAGCCTTGTATAACATTCGGACTTGATGAAACCGGATTAAAAGCCTTGTCCAATGCGATGAGCCTCCATTTTCAGATGGAATTTTAAGCTTAGCCAACCATGACTGGACAACTGACAGTGACCGCACCTATACCCATAGGGTCTGACAAAAGGACGAGGCGCCACTTTCAAAGTCGGCCACGCTCCCAGTGTTACACACAGTGAAGTGGCAAGTGACTTAAATGAAGCGTTATGTAACCTACAAGTCATTGTCTACACCGTTAGGTTCATGCATAAGCTCGATAGATCAGCGCTAATAAACAAATTCTTCAGAAATTTAAAAAACAAGATTCTTATAGATTGTAAACCCTCAGCTGGTGTTGTTTGGCTCTTCCTCTCAAGAGTCGCCGAGCCGTGTTAAATTATATAACATCCTTCTCTGAATATCTGTGAATAATCGAGGGATTTCGATGTCCGATCCATTCTGAAATTCGCACAAGCGTCGCACTAACGGCGCTGTCAGACTGTAGCTTTCAATCCACTCCAAGCCTGAAGTGGATTTTCAAAAATGATAAATAAAGTGCTGGGCTTGAGCTTCTAAGTGTCGCAGAAAACGATTGTTTCTGATAACCAAGTTACTACAGTACCAGCTTGTGTGCGAGAATTCGATGATTTCAGTCCCGACTCACCTTTTCCTGCATGCTTTGTATAGTTGAATTTTTCAGTTCAGGATCAACAAATGCGATGTTGCTCACAACTTACATGTAAGCTATTCACTCATTGTCCAACATTGCCGTCTTTGGGGATGATAAATCATATGCTTCAGTGAATACCATCAAGTTATCGGATACCATCTCGACGGTGTACTGATGAGAACCCCCTGGGAACCTTTGCATATAGCTTAACTGGAGTAGACGCAATGTTATGTAAAGGAATTGCTTGATGACGCTTGACGGTATATTGACAATAAACGGATAAATAGCATCGGTGTCCTTTGTGATGCTTTCATTTGAAGCCTAGTATACGCACGTAACATGCCTGTGCATGTTCTTCTTTCGACCATCGGGTCTACACAGATGCCAGCACCTTGTATGGAGATTGATTATATGTTAATGCGCGCAACTTATCCGTTGCCCTCCAAATATGTGCTGGATCTGAATGCTTCGAACAATATTGAGCCCTTTTCGCCGATTAACCTTAGATTATCCGTTGCTCTCCAAATATGCGCTGGATCTGAATGCTTCGAACAATATTGAGCCCTTTTCGCCGATTAACCTTAGATATAGAAGTATACTGAACGGCAGATTGTCTAAAATATACTCCCCTTTCAATGTAATTGACATTATTGTGGACTTCGACAGATCGACTATCTTCAAAATTACTCCTTCATGAATAAGTAGTGATGTCTTCTTTGATGCCCTAATGGATTCCGGTTCCAACCTGTACCTGGACGCCCCTCGACTAGACATTGGCTAAACACATAAAAAGATCGTCAACACGTGAAAGACACTTACCGGAAGCAGATTCACAAAAACAAATGAGGAGCGTAAAAACAATATTTTGAGCATCTTAAAAGGGTTGGTGACCTATATCTAGCACGGGAGAGGGGAAAGTTAAGCTTGAAAACACAAATGTCAGTTGAATTATGACACAATACGACGATGCTCATGTGCCAACATTCTGGTCACTAAGGATGACCACCAAAGTTCACTCCCTTGTACTTTATTCGCACTGTATTTAGTTCCAGTGTTCTCAACCAACGAATGTGCATTGTCCGGTAGAATCTTATACTTTACCTCCTACAAGTTGCAGATTAATTCCTGACGAACAATTTACACGCAATCACAGGAAGGTAGAAATGCTTTCCAGCAAACGTGTGAAGTGTGTATTGCTTTGCTTGTGTGCTGTCGTCATGACGACTAATATCCACATTCGATTCAGGATTGTGGACGCTCATAGTGGTCACGTGATAACAGAGAAAATACATATCGATCGAGGTGAAAGAAGGGTCGATTCAAGAGAATCACGATTTAGCGGCGCACAGTATATCCACTCCTGATCATTCGATACACATTTGGTCATTTAATTTATTTTTTCTATCTTGGCCATCCGTGGAGAGAAGTACTACGAATACTTGTGGTTTTTCGTCACCGGAAGGAGACCAGTGACAACTAGGGACGACCTATAAGTTCGGTAGCATACATACATGTTAAATTACTGACGATCCAGATCAACACAGGGATTTTAATGACGTGAATAAGTTATACGTTCGAAATGTGGAATACTTTGAAGCAGTTCCACACAAACCACTGATTTAAGTGAGTTCAGTTGCAAGCTCATCGGTAGCTCAAGACCATCCGCCATATCCGGTACTTATTATGAGTTCGCCCGTTTGGTAATATAGAAGGCAGTGTGGTCTGCATGTAATTTCAGCAAATTAAACTCAAAAAGATTATCGCACGCAATGTTCTCGCAGCCTCGATACCCGAACAGTGCACCCGAATCCTCAATGAGCCAGTAGCTACCAGTTTAAAACAGTATTTCTCTGCTGCGGAAATACAGATAGCTTAAAAGTCGTCATGAAAAGGATCACCAACTCTTGCCTTTTAACTTGCACTCTTACTTTCCCGAATACTTTAAGGTGGAATGCAAACAATTGTTGCACTTTACCTACCAACGCCATCGCATATCTAATGCACTTATGATCCTTAGATCTGTGGTTTCTGAAGGCGCACCACTAAGGCTGTTTGCTGATGGTGTAGAAGAAAGTATCTTCTCAGGTCAAATCACCAATTGGACAGATATGACTGGCCAAAAATCCAATCCAGTCCCTCCCGATGTTTTCATATTTACTTTTCTATTTTCCCTCAATGAATTTTCCTAACTTCCACACCCAACAAGGGCGGACTCATCTATTCTGCGAGTTATATGTAAATGTACGAGTATGACTGAACAACTCCGAGAGTTGAACTTGGGAAAGATGCCTATTCCTCAACATTCTTAAACCTAACGATGTACACTTCTTATTGGTTTCAGGCTATCAGCATCATAACATCTCTTTCAAAACATCTCTGCTGTAAATAACGCTTTCTTCCTGGAAACTAGCGCAGTAGAATAAGTAAAAATAACCTCAGTTGTTTCCTTCACAGTGCAGTAAACTTCACCAAAATACAAGACGGATACTTGTCTCTGCAGCAAAACCCTATTTTAAGGCTTCTAACCCCATGCGTCCTCTCACATTGTACACATTTTCCTCGGAACCTTTGGGGAGGACCTCTGCCTTACTGCATAATCGGTGGTGCACATTTCAAGATGCAGTGGAATCTCATGGGTTGGTCTTGCTCTAGTCGGCAAACAGAACGATGCGCTTTGGGACATTACTCCAGTTTTCTCATGTACACAACACCCACTTCACCACGCCCTGTCTGAAGCCGTTTCAACTTGTATGGCATGATCTTCATTCAAACTGTTATCTGTCTGGCTCAGTTTTTGATATATTATCCTGTCGTGGGCTGTCGAAGTATTTTCAGCAACCCTATGAGTAGTGCATTACGTTTATACTGTTCCCCTCTACATAACTTAAACACCTCTATACCCCACTCAGAGTACTTTTGGCACAAATACCTCGCGATTAAGGTATATTACCCTATTAGCCATTCTCGTTTCTCTCCATCATTACGGGTTTTAAATAAGATGTTTGATGACACCATAATTTTACATATTGAGAACTAGCATTCGGTTGAATCAATCTTTCCTGGATTTAATTTCTATATTCAGTTTGAGAAACAGAGCTGAAAAACTTTAAAGTTGTAATTTTCTGGCGATTCTTCTGATATTAGCCCAACTTTTTTTTAGTTTTCCATTCCTCGGAGCAGTGCTTGTTTTCTCTTGGAGAGATTACTCTACCTGGCTCGTGCCGAAGAAGTGAACTCAAGTCTAGACCTTATCAGGGCTCAGTGCTGTTGGATACTCTGCTCCGTGCTCTTATTCAAACTTCTGACACCTGACATGCAAAGCTAGAGTCTTGTTCCAAATCTGTCAGACCACCGTGAACCGACCTATCAACGTAAACGGACCAATCAACCTTGAACATCAGACGTCCATAGTTCAAGTCCCAATACTGACTGTGTCAAATTGCTCTTTAAGAGCCAAACACACTTCCACTCAGTCCACGTTTACAATAAAGTCATCTGCTGAAAATTATCGGTGGCCCTTGAAAATAATTACGCAGCTCCCGTAATAACTTCGAATTTCTGTTTGCATGACAAAATGAACTTCGTACCGATGATGCAGTGCAAGACTCACGTATTTATTTGTTCGTCTTCGCTCCGGGTTGTTCATTGCTCACAACCAGACGGGCAATACAAGTCTCGTGATGCGGTGCCAGCAGTACTCTGGGAACTTGCTTAGTCAGGTTCATAAGAGGAATTTGACGAGATCAGTGGTCAATGCCAAAGAATTCACCATAGACGCATGCTGTTTTTATAAGTTTCATCACTAGATACGGTTCAGTAAGCCGGTGCACCTGGCAGATCAGTCTTCCCACATATTTGGAAGCAATAATTCTGCGGTGCGTAAATTTTGTAGCACGTGGCTAAATCGCATTGCTATATACACAAAGATATCATAAGACTATAACGGAAAATCATTCATAATCGAAAACTCGTAGAGAACGGAACAGTACAGAACATATTCTATCATGCCATGTTACTTTGTTATTGAATACTCGTGAGATTCGCTCCCTTTGTGTTCATGGTACCGAAAAGACCACATCGTTCGAACAGGGAGCTATCGATCTTACCTACTTCAGTTTTTTGATACTGTTGCATACATCGATCAGTTTACAAAATGGTGCTTCATCCTCTCATTGGATAGCATGATAATCTCATCATTTTCGCAGATCGTGGACTTTTGGGCGAAATGAAGGCTCGATTACGTGGCGATCCAAATGATGGATCAGATACCGATACACTTTCCAACCCACCCACATCCACTTCCCCGCCCAGCAGAATAAATTTTGGCAACAGAGTTTCACCAAAAAATGAAAACTCCCCCTCTCCTCCAAAAAGCTCCTCGAAAGGCGGAACATCTCCAAGCTCTGCGTCACATGTAAGCCATTTCACTTTGGTGTGGATTGACCGTCCTTATCCTGTTATTTCTACAGACTTGTATACTTGGTGGTGTGCATCTGTCTATATCTGCATATATGGTGGCCCATGCTGGTATCATATTAGATACTTCTGTTAATCGCAGCACGCGCAAAGCGGAACAAGCAAGCTGCTACTAGAAATGGGCATTTTTACTCCCAAAGATAGAGAAAACAATGCACAAAGCTCGCACATTTCCTGGTAAATGAAACGCCTAGCCCAGGTTTGACTTGTCCACCAAATCCAGTTGATGATTCAGTTTTTGGGCCTCCAAGGTTGGTGGAATGTCTAACTGGTGACATAATAAAGGGGGTTTCAGTCAAACGTAGAATGACTGCTATTAGTTTAATTTAACGTGCTCGGGATCTAAGGTGCCTCAAGCCCCCTTTACGGTAACCCTATGTAAACATTTAAAAAATCTCAGGTGACAGAGTATTCGCAGCATGACGCCGAGAACAATTATGGTGTTGTTTTTATTTGTGGGCAAAGGCACATTCCTGTTAAGCCGCGATGTTCTTTTGGGTGCTGAGTTCACGGTTTCGTTGGTGGCGGCTTTTATGGCGGCTGAATGAACAAATACTCTTCCTCCACAAGTAGCATCATTACTACCCACCTTTGAAGTGTCGCTCTTCAATTTAGTTTCATTCACTGAGATTGGTGATCACAACAAATGACGAAACTGATATCTGCTGCTCGGTAAATTATTATTTCCACCTACTGAGCCGTATATCAGTAGCACATGAGAATTGCAGCAAAGTCCCAATTGACGTCTTGACAGCCTTGATGGGTTTGGAATGATCACTTTTCGGATAATGGCGAAACAATACATTGTCGAAGAGTTTTCAGTAACCTTACGAGTAGTGTGTTGCCTCAATACAGTGTATTGCGTTACTGGCCTATCGTCCCAGCTGAAGCATAACCCGGCCTGGTGCAGCAAATTCGGCTGCAAACTAGAGATTCAATTGCGTCCCCAGTGACGACAAGAATGGCATGCAAATAAGTGTATTCTCTAAGTTTGTGTAATATGAGTTGAATTTTACCATCAAGTTTAGGAAAACTCAGAAACTGGAACTACCTGGTAAGCCCAAAGAAGCGCGAGAAACAGGTCGTGGACAGTCGGAGTGTTTTCAGCAGCCTTATACGTAGTGTATCCTCTCTTTAACCAACATAAATATACAAAATACTGTGTTCTTTTTGTCTATCTCGATACCACAGAAAGTGTACTTATTATGTAGGATGAAAATATTTCCTGTAGTTGCGTTATCAGCAGCACACAAAATACTTCTGAACATAGGGTAGCAAAAATACCCTGATAATTTCCGATGCGAACAATTGATTACACCGTGTTAAAACGAGGGACGTCAATTGATATAAATAGGATAGTTAGCTTCGATGCCATCCATGGTTATCAATAACTACGGAATTCGACCAGGGGCCAGTTTGGTAACCAAAGGAACAGGTGATCCTGAACCCTGGCAAAAACAACCGTATTCTTTCACCCCACGCTGCGCCAGACTTACAAGCAGTGTGATTGACCTTCATTGTTCGTCCTATACTTGCACTGTGTTCAATGTATTGCGACGGAAAGAAAACTGTATGGAATGATTTCTTCTCGCGACTTATATATACAAAGCGGTAAGTGTTTTTCGGCGACTCCTTCACCGTTTATCGAATCTTTCGACAACAAGCTGCAGATCTTTCATGCAGACTCGAATTTGGATTTATGTTCGCCGCAACGCAGTTTGGTAATGTGAGACCACTTTCTAACGACCTTTGTTTCCACCTCACTGTTCTTATAGCCACGGTATTGTTTGCGGCTTGTATTATCCCATTTGACTTGAAATGGCCATTACATAGGCCTAGCGAATGTGCAAAATACATTGGTTTCACGCAAACATATTACACCCAGTGCTGATCTTCCATGAACGTCTTCACACTTTGCATTGACAAACGCTAAATACACAGCATTGTTTTCCTCAGTTTCATTTCTGTTCCACGTTATTTGAAACCATAGGTTAGCCAGGATCTAATAACTTGGCAAGTCATTAGTTATATTAGGAAATGTATACCAGATTTTTCCACAGGTCGTTGCATGAAAGAATAATGATTGCAGAAGACCACAAATTTTGTACGCATATCCTCTTACACTATTCCCCTTAGAAACCGGGTAACATTCTCTATTCTGGCGGTTATGCTAGAGACGCGACAAAACATTCAGATGGTGCACTTAGCAACTTTAGGTCTAGCTGGCTTTTCAGCTAAACTAAGTTGGGCTTCTG